CAGGTTGTCAACAATCTTAATAAATATCAATTAGTATCGGTGTTTTCGCTTTATACCGACACTGTAAGTTTATTCTGACATCTCGTGAAATGATTTCAGAATAATACAATTCTATAATTGGGACGTTACTGGCGTAAATTGAAATCTGTAAGGTGGTGATCGATTAAGCGCACAAAAGAAGTGGAACTCGATTGACAGCTTTATATGGATTAACTTTGTACTTGCATACGTATGTTTACTTCTTTAGGTACGTACCTTGGCACTAAAGTATATTATGCGGTTCCTTATTGACTCGTTTAAAGAATTAAGCAGGTTAATTCACCCGGTGGAATTAATTTACGAGCTTTATTCTTTGGACGTTTTATACGATAATATCTGAAATTTTAAAAATGTTGACACATCCTAGATGCATCTAATATGCGTTATAAATTATTTATTATTATGAAAATCACTTTAAGAACTCTTTTAGGTTAAAATTAATGTATTATGGGTTTGAAAGTCCTCTTACAGCATTTTATAGGTTATTCTGTTGAAATTTATGATCGGGCAACATTTATACCTTTAATGTTAATGGCTAGATGATTCAATTAATTCAATATGTGCACATCGTTATTAATAGTCACGAAATCGATTCGATTTTAGTACAAAAATCCGACACAATGGTTGGATACGTATGGTAACCAGTGCAATACCTGTTTTCATCATTAGAGTTGAAATTTCACATGTTGCAGGAATAGTGCCCTTTTTGGATTGAGGCGAAGATTTTGTGAGAGTTCCGATTTGAATCGAGGTGCCGGATGTATTATCCGTCAAATAACTTGAATACAATCGGTCTTTTGTTTAAACGTATGTATCGTGATCACGTGCATGTTCTTAGCACACCGGAGATAGCAATATAAGATTCAGGGCTGAATCCCTGCAGGACTTGTTTTTTCCAAAAGTAAAAAAAACTCAGTCTTTTGTTTTTTCCCGTTTTGACTTGCAGAATGCAATATCCATCGTATGTATCCAGTTTTATTTCCGCATTTATCTAAATCATTATGAGATAACAAAAAAAAGTTGCACACTATAATTTTAATTATTTTTAATTTATTATCCATGAAAAATAATGGTACTATACACATAATTATTCAAGTTTAAATAGTCGATCGTTTCACTTGATTGAATCGAGTTGAGACCAAACATTTGCACAATAAATCTATTTTGAATAAACAGTGTACGATCAATTTGGCTGTTTGTGAGATAGTTGATTGGGATACCGAAATTTTTTAAGCTTTTTTTTTTTTTTTTTTTTATACAGTCGCTGGTTAATGGCTTAACAACCAACCAACCTTGCAGTATCTGCACCTCTTCTCAAAAACCCGAAAAAAAAAAAAAAAAAAAATTGTCCCTTACTAGTCTTACTAGTCAGATACACCGGAAGAGGTGTTGAAGTTCAAAGGAACCCTTACTTGGTACATTGCTCCATACTCATATATGATATAGAAAAATATTAATAAAAGTAGAATAGACGTATTAATTTAGTAAGTATTTCATTTATATTATAAATTATAACTCTGAATTTTTATTATTGGTGTAAACTCTTCAAAAATTTTTATCGAGTCTTTTTTTTGCCTATATAGATCTCAAATATTTGTAAATAAAAAAAAGTGAAGAAGGAAAAATAACATTAAATTCGGACAAATTAAAGAATTCCAGACTTTTACCAATGTTGATATGATGAGGATAATACATTATTATAATAACCTTTTAACGATACTAGCTTATTGTACGATAATATGTCAGACCACCGTTTTAGCACAGACATTGAGCGTGAATTCTCGAGCCGTTCCTCAAATATTAGTAGCTGGACAATATAATGGGTTATCATTATTTAATGGTGACTCGAGCGAGCAAGAATCTTATAACGCAATGACTGCATCATTATTAACTCAGTCGCCAAACGGTATCTTTCAACTTTCTGGCTCTACTTCGTATAATGGAACGATTAATGCGTTATGCGTAATGCCTCGGTCTCAAAATAATCTTTATGATATCGATGTATATGTTGGTGGTAAATTTACCACTCTTGCTAATAATACGTTTAATAATATTGCGCGTTACGATCCCGCTAGTCGAACATTCCACGCGCTTCTGGAAGGTTTGGATAATTCGGTTTTCTCTTTGTACTGTGATACTGATAATTCGTTGGTTTATGTCGGTGGTGAATTCATCGCTCCAGTAAATTCTGTTGCGCATGGTATCAATATCTCTGACTTTGGTGGTAGTGTTGCAATATGGCATGTGGGAAATTCTTCTTGGTCGGCTCTCCCTTTTAAGGGATTTAATGGTCCAGTGTATACTATTACATATAATACACAGAATAAAACTGTTTATTTTGGTGGTCAATTCGATGCTACTAGTGATGGTAATTTTGGTACTATTCCTAATAATACACAACCAATAGGCTTACAAAATACTACTGTAAGTATTTCTAATCATTGTCTCGTTCTCAACGTTAATCTTTTCTATTTATTTATTTATTTATTTATTTTAAAACAAAGATATCAT